GATGTTGGTGTGCGACTAAGCGCTGCTTGCCAGCCACCGCGCTTGCGTTTCTTCANAAGGACATTGAAGGCACAGAATTGAGCGCATCATCTTTGAAACTAATTGAGATCGCGAATAGACCCTTCGAGTGATCATTATGTGGTATTCACGAAAAGAAAAATAATTCCGAGCGGGAGAAAATGTAGCGCAGCCAATCGAAGGGCGCGCCGTTGAGAACGTCACTCCGTGGACGAACTAGTGAAACTCATAGAACTCTATGCATACCTTCTCCCAATTCAACGGGAAGGTGTACCAACAGGTACGAAGAACTCCCATGGGTTCCCCACTCTCAGACCTGCTTGCGGATGCGGTTATGGAGCACTTCAAAGCCAGAGCTTTTGAAATTCTCCAACCTCGTCCGTGGATACGGTATGTGGACGATACATCCGTCATATTCAGAAATTCCACGGTAGATCAATTCCATCAAATGATCAGCGAGCAGGTGCCTGGTACCAACTTCACGCGAGAGGAAGAGAAAGATGGACAACTCTCCTTCCTCGATATCCCGCTCATAAGGCAACTTGGCCGAAAAATCGAAACCATAGTCTACCGAAAACCGACCATGACAGATCCCATCCTCAATTATACCTTTTGTGTCACCTGGAAAGTTGTTTGCGAACTCTATTTCGCCGAGCGAACATACATTGCAGTATACCGGATAGGATAAAGAAGTTGACTGTTTCAACTGTTCTTATCTAACGCATATAACCGGAGTTTATTCAACGCGTGCCGCAGGGGTAAAAACACAATCTCATATAGTTTGCGCTACGGTTTTTATTTTGCTGCACGTTTTCGCTCATTGTCTATTTGCTGAATATCGTCTTTAAGTCCATTTGACTCGCATGTACGCCAAATCAAAAGTGAAAACTTTTTTCTCACTGAAAATTCTGTCTTTAATGGACTGAAAAGTTGCATTCCTCACTTTGTTTGGCTTCACTGGTTGAAGTTCTTCAACTAATCTCTTTGTTGGCAATATGAATCGGACATTGGACATTGTATTGTAACAACTTTAGCAGGCAACAATTCCTACATTTCGGTCAGAAATGCGTTCATTGTTGTGATGGGATAAAAAATCAAGGTCAAATACAGCGATGATAAAAATTAAACAAATCATCCTTGTAGGTGTAAAATTAGTTAGTTTTTAATCATTGTCTTATCTTTAGAATACGAACCCGATAGGGATTGTGATCCATGTTTATGCCAGAGGGTAGGCAGCGATAATTAGATTGGGTTGTAGCATGTAAACGCTAAGCAGATAGATCAGGATTGAGCGGGTGACTGGTGTCGTTGAGTATCTTTTGAGCGGAATTCTCACATGAAAGTTACACAATTTGGTTATTAGTGTTTAAAGGAATTCGGCAAACACATCTGGGAAGTAACAAACCGCGGCGAAGAGTATCGAAATCCGAATTGATTCAATTATAATTGCAGTTGTACTAAACTGTCAGAAAATGATTCTGTGTCAGAGTGGTTTGAAATGCCTTGACATAAATGCACATCGTCAGCATATTTAAAGGTCAGAAGACAACCACTGCAAGAGGAATTCCTCTCGTATACTCTCATTGGTCGCGTACATATAACATTGGACAAAATAGATGAATGTAGTGAATTAATAAGTCTGGTTAGCTTTAATCGTGTCTGTATGTGACGTACATGAATGGTTACAGCCGGGGAAGGCCAAAGGTAAAGATCATACGCTTTTGGACACAACTTAAGTTTGTTGTGAGCGAGTTCCTCCCGCAGTGGTTGTTTTTTGACTTGCCCGTTCAGATTCAATTCAGGATCTAAATGTTTCAGTATTTAAAGGTATCGGCTGACGGAATAAAGGTTCAGTCACTGATGAATGCTGAGAATTAGTATGAAGGATACACAACACCCTGAAGGATTCCAGGACTCCAAAAACTACACAACCTCTTGCTTATAGCTAATCGACCTGATATTGTGATTTTAGCACGAGGTATAAATACCAAAGTGAGACGCATCCGGAAGGTCCTTTCGGACCACATTCCTGTCGCTCGAAAACGGGAAAGAGCTGTTGGCTCTATGTTCTGACCACCGCCAATTTCTCGCTAGTACGAACTTTAAACGTTCCAACTGCCCGTACACCACTTAACGTCCACTCTCCTAGAGCCAGCGACGAACGCAAGTCGATCACATCGCTATAAGCCACAAATAGCGGGGCTGCATACAAGATTGCTGATTGTACTGGAACACTCCCCTTGAGTCCGATCACGTATTAGTTTGCGCCAAACAGTCCATGTGCTTCGGTGGGCGTTCTAAACGCACGACACAATGGCTAGAATGCGCTAAGCTGTCCCAATAAGCAAGTTGAAAAGCTAGAACCAACCCCACTTAAAAACATCACTCAGCACCGGTCGCTTATCAAGAATACTCTGCGTTCTGCTGGCTTAGTATGTTGTGGCCTGACACATCGTGCCGTGATACCTTAGATTTCTGCGGAGTCTTCGCGCACTGTATTCAATTCCGACCGGCAGAGAACATAATGAAACACGACTCGTAACGAGACGTAATCTCAACGCAAGCCTACGCAGAGATTGCGAGGCTTGGTGGACTCAACGCGCATTAGAGATGGAACGTTCTGACGTCATGGGAAACTGCCGTAAGCTGTTTCATCTCATTTCATCTGGGTCTTCGGTGGGAAAGCCTTAGGTGTGAGCGAAACGATCTGCGAAAATGACAGCTCGCCCATTCATAATCAACAGAGATGTTAAGCACGCTGAGTGGAGCACTTCAAAGCACAGTTTAGCCGGGCACCAGTGTCAGCTTCTCACGTAGATACCCGGCACACGTCCCATGATCTGTCTCAACAGACCCACATGCTAAGACGAAAGTCCGTAAGGGGACCCAAGCCTTGGAACGTAACAAAGCCGCGAGCTCCGATGGCCTTTCCACAGCTCTATTTGAAGGTGGTGGAACAAAGTTTGTTAGAGAATTGGTGGCTCTGTTCTCTAAAGTCTGGCAAATTGAACCGGTCCCGTCGTCATGGAGGGAGGGTGGAAACGATTATCATCCCCATCTTCAAGAACTGCCTGCGCACCGACGGCGCTAGTCCTAGGGGTATAAGCCTTATCACAGTGGTGTCAACGCTTTTGGTGTCCATCATTCTCCGACGATCGCTGTTCATCGCCTCTGAGTACTCGATCTTTTTCTGCGTACGCCTACTCATCGTCTACCCTTCCTGGCCCTCGTACTTGGTCGACAAGGCTGGAAGTAGCGCAGCGTGGATGAGTCGATAATCTGGCATAGTTTTATGATGAATGTGTCTTCGTCTTTGGATTCGGTTGGTGCAGCTAACGTTCGAAGTGGGAGCCCAAGGGATCCCAATAACGTTAGTTGGAGACGCTGAGAGATATGGCTTAGAATAGATATCAGTGGCGCAATTGTTGTGCGGTTTGTTTGAACGAACCCCTTTCCCCTTATCAGATGAAGAAATTTCAACATTTTTAACCTATCCAAAAGTTATCCATCCATTCATTTGTTCTCTATCTTCATTTTACCTTTCTGTACCCTTCCTGCTGCTAGTACCACGTTGGCATCCTTCCTGTTCTGAAACTGGTGTATATAATTGTATATATTCCGTTGTATGTATCTATTTATGTATTGGTGTACACTACTTTTGATCATCGAATATTCCAGTCCATTCGCAGATGATCAAAGATTCGTTTTCGTAGAACCAATTTACTCAATAGCGCATCTATCAAAATGTATTCCTGGGAACTTTGGCTAAGTAGTATGTTTTCGCTAAACCGCGAGGGCAGAACGCTCCTCAATGCCAATCCGAAACACAATTAGTCCCCATTTTCTCACTTAATGGCATACAGCCAACAGTTTTCCGCTTGCGCCTTTTGTGATGTTCACGGAATACCAATTTTTAGTAACTGTCTACTCATCGATCGAGTATTAATTTTTTGGTTTTCTATTGCGGTTGTCACGTGAAATTTGTTGTTTCTCCGATTCCACCTTCTGCAGGTCTTTGTGCTCTTAGACAGCACGCTGGATATTAGTAAGCTGCGCAACTCGGGCATGGTGATCGAGGCTGTGTTTGAAGACCTGAAGCTAAAGCAGCAAGTTCTGAAGGATGTGGAAGATGTGATTCCGGATAGTGCGGTATTTGCAAGCAACACATCCGCTCTACCTATCCATCAGATAGCTGCCGCCAGCAAACGACCGGAAAAGGTGAGTCAACTGTTTGACTTAGTCCCCTCCCTAGGCATTATACACTGAAGAACACAAGCGTTCTTACCTCTGGCATGGCAACATATCGAGCTTCTGTCTTCAGAAGACTGCAGTTTTTGTCCTAGACGGAAGTAAATAGGGATCGTGAAATAGGTCATCCTTAATGAGTCTTTTGGCTGCCCATAGCAACGAAGCCGTTGAAGAGAGACAGGAAAGTTGAAACTAGAGTGGAAGATAAAAGGTAAAATTTCAGTGGATCAAGGTATTGAAGAAATTGAAAGCATGCACGAGCGCCACTATTTGCGACACCCAATCATATCAGTGTCCCTAACTACTTAATATGGTGAATCCGACGTCTCCATCCAGTGAGACTAACGAGACCTATATGAGCAAGCCTTCTCCCTACGTTTCACTCCGTCATGCCACGCCTTGGTTTTACCTTCCTTGACATTTTCCCACCCATCACCTGTCTCGGTAAACATGCGCAACACGTCCCAACCAGCGTAGTTTATGAGAACAACCACTTGCTCCAGTGGACCATCGCGATTACCTAAAACTCTACACCAAACTTCAGCATTGCTTGTCCGGTTTCCCCACCAGATTCTTGCAATGCTTCGTCGACAGCAATGTTCGAATACCTACAGTCTACTTTCATCCTGGCCACGTCTCTGCGCCGTATAGCAGAACTGGCCGAACTGCCGCAACATCCAGTCGACTCTTCACAGACAGCCGGATGTCGCGACGGCGCCACAAATGTGTCAAGTTGGCTAATGCCAACTGAGCTGACACTTCTTCCTTGATGCGTCCACACAGTCTGATACAAGACTGTGTGCCAAACAAATCATGGTACAATAATCTTTATGAAAAGAAAAACGTTCCTTGACTTGCATGTGGGCGGAATACTACCCCGGGTTGACCAGGCCAAGGCAGGTGAGTTTTTTGGGAACCCATAACTGGAGCCTTCGGCTAGCCAAAGCGTAACCCGTAAGGCAGTGGTGCGGTGTTTACGCCACAGTCCATTGGGATTCAGTGTCCAGTTCATCGGATCATACACCCTTTGGACGGGGTCAAATATCCAAAGTGCCCAATATATCTCGATGCCCAA